AGCATCGAAAAGGCTAAGAATAACAAATGCTGGTGAGGATGCAGAGAAACGGGAACCCTCCTCCACTGTTAGTGGGAATGTAAGCTAGTTCAACCATTGTGGAAAGCAATATGGAGGTTCCTCAAAAAACTAAAAATAGAAATACCATTTGACCTGGGAATACCACTCCTTGGAATTTACCCAAAGAATAAAAGTTCTCAGATTCAAAAAAACATATGCACCCTTATGTTTATCACAGCACTTTTTACAACAGCCAAGATATGGAAGCAACCTAAGTGCCCATCAGTAGATGAATGGGTAAAGAAGAGGTGGTACATATACACAGTGGAATACTATTTGGCCATAAGAAAGAAACACATCCTACCATTTGCAACAACATGGATGGAGCTGGAGGACATTAAACTCAGTGAAATAAGCCAGGCGGAGAAAGACAAATGCCAAATTATTTCCCTCATTTGTGGAGTATAAAAATGAAGCAAAACTGAAGGAACATAATAGCTTCAGACTCAGAGACTCCAAGAATGAACTAGTGGTTACCAAAGGGGAGGGGTGTGGGAGGGCGGGTGGGGAGGGAGGGAGAAGGGAATTGAGCGGTATTATGTTTAGTACACATGGTGTGGGGGATCACGGGGAGAACAGTGTAGCACAGAGAAGGCACATAATGGATCTGTGACATCTTTCTACACTAATGGACAGTGACTGCATTGGGGTATGGGTGCAGACTTGATAATATGGGTAAATGTGGTAACCATTGTTTTTTCATGTGAAACGTTCATAAGAGTGTATATCAATCACACCTTAATAAAAAATAAAAAATAAAAAATTCCACTCCTGCAACTAGGTTAGATAGTAAGTCTTGATTTGCTGGAGCAAGACTCCATTCCGGGCCAGCTGTTTCTTTTTTTAAGTGTGTAAAATTGTACTTTGATCTCAAGGGTCTAAACCATAAGGTTAACTGTAATTGTCAAATGCTTGATTGGATGTAGATTTACATGTGTGTTATTTTGTGCCAATTTATGAAAAAAATTTTCATAATCCCAACATAGACAATGGCTTTAAAAAATTAACATGAAGGGTTTATGAAGATGTGACATTTAATCCAGTCCTTGTTTGGTCATGTTCAATTCAGGGAGCTTTCCTTTCTTCCTCTTCTCTCGGCTCTGCTCCCTTCCTTCCTTCTTTTGTTTGCTTTTGAATTTAAGTTTTGCCAATATTTCTAGAACTTTCTGTCAGTAGAAGTTGCATTGGTAGTGTTTTGACCATCACAACGTTACACTGAAAGGCAAGATGGGATTTGGTGCTACAGTAAAATGTCATGCAGGACACTCTTGTCTCACTCTGCCTGCAGCCCCTCCCTGAGCATCTGCTTTAGGACATGGCCACGGAACACCACCTCAAGAGTTCCTGTCTTCACAGTTCACCTCTGGCAGGCTCAGTGGGAAGAAGCTACGTGGTTTACTTTAATTTCAAAGTACTTGCATTTCTGCTTGCAGTACAATAAACCACGTTAGTTCAGCATTGTGGGTAAAATTGTAATGTTTCCAGAATACCTCACCTGGCTTTAGTATATCTGCATATCAACAAGTGCTCAAGGGTGGAGAGAAGTATGACTTCAGTGCATTTGCACCATTCCTCAGGGATGGAGAGAAGTTCATCTCCATATCAATGGGTGATTACCTGGGCAACTGAGGGCTTATCTGTACCTGAGAGGTGAGGGGGAAGGGCAGGTTTTACTTCTACCAGAGCAGGAAAGAGATGGCCTTGGACTGAAGTTTGTAAGTAATAAATAGATTTTAAACTTTAAAAAAAACAAACAAACAGGGGATTAAAAATGGATATGAATTTCCATCTAAAGGAACTAGAAAAGCAAATTAAAGTAGAAAAAAGGAAATCATAAAGAAATCAATAAAATAGAAAATGGACAAATAAAGAAAAAAATCAACAGAGCCAAAACTTAGTTCTCTGAAAACATTAAGGGCTTTTAGTTTCTCATCCAGCATGTAAGAAGCTAACAGCAAGTAAACATCCATTCTAAAAAGTAAAAACCTGAGCAAACTGAAAAATAAACAATTCTTAGATTTTAAGAGAGCTAACTGCTGCCCCCAAAACTGGGAGACAGGCAAAAAGATGAATAACAATTTTCTGAAGCAGCAACCTCCCAGGGAACCAGTCTCAAGTAGGGACACCTCAACTGTAAATGACAAATTGCTGAAGGTTCAGAGTGAACAACTCTGTCTTAAAAACTCCAGGGGGACCCAGTCATCAAGATGCTCCCACATTTCTTGTTTTACCTCCTGGATCTCTACCAGGTTCTCACAGTTAATATAAGAGAAAAATCTCAAGCTTCCAGCAGAGGGATGGGAAAAGAACAATTGTGAAACAGGCCACAGCACTCACTCTTCCTCTTAACATCTTCCCTCAGAGGAAACTTTAAACTGAGACTAACCTGCTGGGTCTTATCAGAACCTAACCTAGAGAAAGGGAAATACCCAACTCCAGCCCATTCTAGCCATCCTGTCCTACCTAAGGAGGTTGGGGAGAATAAGAAGCATGTGTGAAGTTCACAGTCTATGGTCATAGGCTCACTAAGAGACTTCTCTGTCTTCTTGCACTGTAAAATGCTTCTCTCCCCACAAACTTTATCAACCGCATTACTAAAGGCCTATTTATAGCAGTACTTTTAACTCACTACAGCGTGCCCATCTATCAAGAAAAAAATTACAAGACATATAAAGTCAAAAACACAGTTAGAAGAGATAAAGCAAGCATCAGAATCAGACTCAGGTACAGCAAGGGTGCTGGAATTATCAGACCCGCAATTTAAACTTGAAGATTAATAGGCCAGGGGCTATAATAAATAAAGTAGACAACATGAAAAACAGATGGGCAACATAAGCAAGGACATGGAAATTCTAAGAAACAAAAAAGAAATACTAGAGATCAAAAACACTGTAGCAGAAATGGACAATGCTTTTGATGGGTTTATCAGTAGATTCAACATAGATGGAAAAAAATCTCTATAATCCAAGACATATGAATTCATATGTCCACAGAAAGACTTTCATAAGGATATTAAGTGGCTTTACTCTTAATGGTCAATAACTGGAAAGAAGCCAAATGCCCATCAACAGGAAAATTGGCAAACAAACTGGTATACTGATACAGTAGAATACTACTCAGCAATAAAAACAAACAAACAGATATACACAACATAGATAAATCTCAGAGACTTTAATGAAGCCAGACACAACAGAGTATATATCAGAGGATTTTATCTATATGAAATATGGGACCAGGTGATACAAATCAGAATAGTGGTTGCGCTGGCAAGGAGGAAGAGAGGATAGGCTGGAAAGAGGCCCCAAGGAACTTCCTGTGGTTGAAGAAAATTTTTCGTATCTTCCTTCAGTAGGTAAAGCAGATGGCCTGTAATCCATTTACTCTATCCATGTAAGGGCACAGGGGCATACCCCCAGAGAAGAGAATAAAAGAGAGGTGAGTAGTCTAATCTCCTTGTCAACTAGATGCTAAAGAAAACACAACATTTTCTAAGAGTAAGAGACATTATCTCTAAAGTGCCCTTAGCAGGATGACCATGGACAAAGGATTAGTTTTAGTTCATAGAAACCAAGATTTATAGATTTATAAGGTACACTGGAGAATGTCTCATGCATTTAAGAGCTGGACATTGAATTCAGTTACCAATAATCAATGATTTAATCAATCAGGTCAATGCAATTAAACCTTGACTAAAAAAAAAACTCAGAATGAGGTTTTAGGAAGCTTCCAGATTGGTGAACAAATAAATCCCTGTGGTGGGAGAGTGGTAGGCCAAGAGATCCCCTAACCTCACCTCCACCCCCATAACTTCCCCTGGCATCACTTCTGTTTATTTGTCTTTTCCTGAGTTTTATCTTTAATACTAAAACAGCAATAATAATAATAGCATTTTCTAAGTTCTGTGAGTTGTTTTAGTGAATTACTGAACAGGGAAGGGGGAGAATTATAAGGACCTTGAGTTTATAGTCAGTCAGACAGAAGTGTGGATAACGTGGGAACCTGATTTGTGGCTGGTGTCTGAAATGGGGGAAGTCTAATGGGACTGAGTCCTTAACTTGTGGGGTCTGAGTTAATTCCTTGTATTTAATGTCAAAAAATTGATTTTAGGACATTCAGTTGATGTTGGTGAACTGGTTAGAATGATGCATCTGGTGTCAAAAAGCTACACACTTTAAAGTAATACAGTGCTATTGCAGGGTGGGGAAGGTGGATAGTGCCCTGAATGTGAGCAAACTTTGAAACCTAACTACCATGGAAGGAAATACATGGAGATAAAGGAACCTGATAAGCAATATAAGGATGCAGATTAAGCAATTAAAACATTTATCAACCAAACTGCAATGTATGGGCCTAATTGGGATCCTGGTTTGAAGAAATCAACCAGAGAAGGGCATTCATGGAACAATATGGAAAATCTGAACACTGACTGAATTTTAAGGAATTATTGCTAATTTTAATGAATACTATATACTTCTGTCTTTTTTGGAGAGCTTTTTACTACAGAGACATACTAAAACATACAGCAAAATATTATGAATGGGATTCTTTTTAAAACAACTCAGGAGTTAACAGATTTTCAAAAAAGATTGCCCATGTGTTTAGTAGTTGTAAAAACTGGGTGACGGATACATAAGGATTAATTATTCAATTCTATCTCCTTTTGGAATGTTTCAAAACTTCTGTAGTTAAGTTTTAGAAAGAATGTAAAAGGAAATTATTCATCTTTCAAACAGCCAATAAAAGCCAAAGATAGATAGTTTGGAGTGTAAGACAAAAAATTAACTATCAACAAGTATGAAGAAAGAAGGAGAGAATGAGAGAGTAAGGAAAGCAAAGGAAGTGAAGGAAAAGTGTCAGAAAACTAAACAACTAAGAGCAGCTGAAATATACAGATTTCCCAGTTAGTTATTCTTTACCTTAAGCCATTGAACATACCATACCTGCAGCTCCTGAGCAGTCTGTTCTACTTTGGATTCTAATGCTTTATAATTTTCAAGGAGAACCTCCTTCTCCGTTTTAAGCTTTTCATTTTCTTCAATCAGTTTCTGGTCCTGCTTAATTTTTGCCAGGCTGACATTAGACCCTAAGTTAAAGTCACCAACAGCCAAACTTTCCCTGTTAAAAACAAATTAACTCATTTTAAAAACCAAACTGAATGAGGCTGGTAGAGATCAAAAATCTAAATTAAATTATCTTGGGCTTTTTATACCATAATATATCTTGAAGTTGATTTTGGAAACTAATCTAAAACCTTTGCCTAGTTCAATACTTAAAAATACTTTAATGCAAACTAGATTTATAACTGAAGTCATACTCCAAAACAATGCCTCCAACTCTCAAAGAAAATATATTTCAACTTCCTCTTTGTATTATCAACCCCAGGAAATATAGTAAAAACCATTTCTATATCAGTTCCAATTCCTCCTCCCTCATCACTCCCATTCCACATGACAGTTTAGTTCCTAAAGCACTAATAAGATCCCAACAGCTTAATCACCCAAGACATGACATCATGCCTTGGATCATGATACAGAAGTATATGAATGATTTGGTACTTACAAACATCAAATCTGCCTTTCTGCTTTAACTTTATAATTCAAAATTATCTAAAAAGTGAACTCCTTTTGCAATAATGAATTTCCATCACAGTAAGTTTTCACAGGAAGAATAAAGAACCTCACTTTTGTTAAAAAGGAAAGACAATTCCCTGAAACTCCTTTAAGTATTAAGGCCACAGAAAAACCTCAAAGTTTATTTGAAATTCTGACTCTGCCTGGGTAACTCAGATTTAGGAGTAAATTTTTATTTTTGATAAATGAATTCAAAAGAGATGGCATAATAGTGATGCTCTAACATATTTCTATGTGGCAGATAGCAATCTCACTGGTGGGGGTGAGGATTTAATAATATGGGTAACAAACCACTGTGTTGTATATTTGAAACCAATATAAGATTGTATATCAAGAATACTTGAATAAAAAAGAGTTGGCATGAAGACTTGGTATGTGAATTTTAAACAATTCAGGAATATTTTTCTTTCAAAATGGCTTTTAATGAAAATATTCCTGCTACAGCAGAGAGGAATGCATGTTTGAGAAAAACAGAAATAATCAGTAGCATTACTTGAAATCACTGACATAGTTAAGGACTCCAAAAACATAAGCCTTGACTTCTACTGTGACAAGGGCTTCTACCACAAGTTACAAATTAGGTAAGATTAAAAACCACAGACTTACTTTGGAAATGTCACATGATTTCCTGCATCATTTTCATTCTTCAGGTTAAGAGCCAGCCTCCCATTTAAGTGCTCCTTTGGCCCACTGAAGTTTGACTGGTTTGATCTATGCCCCCACAAAGGAATGGGGTTTTTGAGGTTCCTGAGAACAAGCTGACCAGTATTTGATTTTTTTTCCTCACAGGTGTTAGTGATGGAAGTGAGTTTGCATTTTTCTGCAAATCCTTTCTTAGCCACCTCTTCCCCTATATCCACACTGCCATACTCAGCCTGAGCAATAACTGTTCCATCTTGATAGGTTGCTTTAATTCTCATTTTTATTTCCTTTTCAAAAATTAAGCTCCCCAAAAAGGTTCTGCCCTAAGAAAGACAGGGGAAAAAAAAGACATAAACCAGCTACACCAACATGTTTTTCACTTACTTTCTTTCTACCCAATTTTTCTAACAATTTCTTCAATCTGAAATCTCTACAGAAATGGTCTTACCATCTTGTTGGCTATATGCAAATATACTGCTTTATGTGTATGAATATATTCTAATTACATACTAAAATCTTCCTTTCCAGAAGCAGAGCTAATACCTATATAGGCAGCCATGTTTATAAATTGTTAAATGTGTACCAATAAAATACTCTAGAATAATTTTTTTAACCAGGCATATTGTGTTGACCATTTTTGCCCCAACTAAATGAAATGTTATCCCAAGGAGCTACAGCAAATAAAAATGAATTTTGTTATCTAGAAAAAAGTACTCAAACTCAACAGAACTTTAAAAATAGTTTTACGGGCAGAATCAGATACTCTGGTTTTAAAGTAAGACAAGGGCAAGAGCAAAAAACAGAAACTCAAGAAACTCAGAATACACACATCAACAAATTTTTTAAAAATCAACAAACTGAAATTATGGACTATGAGATATTAGAAATTCCTAAATTCAAAACCCTTTTAAAATGTAATTGTGTTTAAGGGAGTAGCACTTACACAACTGTCATATGAAAAGCCATATGAATAACTACGTACTTGCTAACTTTTAACTGTTGATTATCCATTCATAGCACTGAGCACAAATACTTGGAAGATACCGTGAAATTTAATTTTAATAAGAACTTGCTTACATGTGCAGAAAATTTGAATTCCCAAAATTACTTTGATATTATCAAATTTCAATTATTATTATCTTCCCAAATGTCTCTTAAGTTCCCTAATTTTCACCCTGTACTATAAATCATTTCTCAGAATATATAAAGTACAAATGTGAAACAAAAATAGGAACTTCTCAAATTTAATGGTTAATATCTTCCTTGAATAGAGACCCAGTATAATTAAATTTATGGGCCATATCTCTCTTACAGGGTGGAGCTTTATTTTTAGCTATATTCCTAATAGATATATGTGAAAAACAATACACTTATGAAAAGAAAGCAAACTAAAAAAAGGAAATCATACCAATAATAATCCAGGTAACAAGAGCATAAAGATCAAACTAAAAACATAAGTTGGGTGGGGTGAAGAATGGAAGAGGAGGAAAGGAAGAAAAAGAAAAAGAAAAATGTTTTTCAAGGTTCAAGAAACTAAATCCTATAGGTAGGGAATAACTATTTTCTCTTGTTCAACTACTTAGTAATACAGAGGGCAGAAATATGACCTATGTTGGAGAAGTTCTTAACCTTTTTTTGTGCCATGGACTCCTCCTTTATCAGTCTGGTGAACCCTTTTGACTCCTTCTCAGAAAATGTTTTTAAATACATAAAATACATAGAATTACAAAGAAAATTATTTCACTGTATACATTTTAATCCCAGGTTAAGAACTCATAGACCTAGAAAGATGCATCTAAAAGGGCAGAAGATCAAATTATTTGTCCTGAAGGATCACCAACCATCACTGCCTATTACCCCCCAACCAAAAAAAAAAAAAGAAAAAATAATTTTAATCCACATGACAAAGTATTTTAAGTTAACAAAAACACAGGTTTTAAATACCATTTGACCCAGGAATTCTACCCACTCCTAGGAATTTACCCTAAGAATGCAGCAGCCCAGTTTGAAAAAGACATATGCACTCCTATGTTTATCGCAGCACTATTTACAATAGGCAAGAATGGAAACAACCTAAGTGTCCATCAGTAGATGAATGGATAAAGAAGATGTGGTATATATACACAATGGAATATTATTCAGCCATAAGAAGAAAACAAATCCTACCATTTGCAACAACATGAATGGGGCTAGAGGGTATTACGCTCAGTGAAATAAGCCAGGTAGAGAAAGACAAGTATCAAATGATTTCACTTATCTGTGGAGTATAAGAACAAAGAAAAACCAAAGGAACTAAACAGCAGCAGACTCGCAGAACCCAAGAATCGACTAACAGTTACGAAGGGGAAAGGGACTGGGGAGGTGGGGTGGGAAGAGAGGGATAAGGGGGAAAATGGGGCATTATGATAAGCACACATAATGTAGGTGGGGGGACATGGGAAGGCAGTATATACAGAGAAGACCAGTAATGATTATATAGTATCTTACTATGCTGATGGACAGTGATTGTAATGGGGTATGTGGGGGGACTTGATAATGGGGGGAGTCTAGTAACCATAATGTTGTTCAAGTAATTGTATATTAATGATATCAAAATTAAAAAGTTAAAAAAAAACACAGGTTTTATAAATTTTTCAAATCATAAAGTTTTTAAGTATATACCTTTTGAGAGGCTTGAATTCACCAAGGATACCAATATAAAAAGCATCACCAACAAATGAGATCAAGCAGGCAGGCAAAGCTTACAAATTAAAAAATATATTTCACTGATAGAGATCAGATTAAGATTTTTGATCAATAAGAATATAGTTTTTAGTTAACTCATTCATACAAAAACCCTCAGTTTCAACCCTTAATGTTGAAAGTTTATCTAAAATTGAATTACAATTTACACATCTAACCAGTGTTAACAAAAGTAACAGTGTCTGAAAATTACTGGTAGAATATGAGGAATTCTTAATATTTTGAGACACTGTCATTGAGAGCAACATACAAATTTAAATGTAAATAATCTACTTTCTTTAAAAGTTCCAATTACTTAAAGCTGAATGTTCCAAAGGCATACTATTTCTCACTTAGAACTATTTATGCAGAAATCTGATTTTTAGAATTTTCTCTGAAGTCAAATTCCTTTTAGTTATTTATGATCACCAACCACAATACAAAATTTTTCAACCATTCTCCCTGAATCATACATACCCAAAAGGACAGACCCTAAAAAAAATACCTGAGTTCTCCTAAATTCTAACGAAAAGAATGACAGAGCAGATAGGAATTTTAATATTATACTTTATCATAAATATATGTTCTATATATTCTTTTTTAAATGTCAAATATTTAATTTTTATAGTGAAAAGTATGTTACATTTCTCATTAAATCCTGTGTGCTGCAAAGAGATATATTTATGTATTTCTTAAACATATTTAGGGATTTAAAAAGTTCAAAACAAACGTTTTAAATTAACCTGATCATTGGTTTAGAACACACTGCTTTCAATCATTAAAAAAAGATAGTGTCATTTTTCTAAGCTATATCATTCTGTTTCCCAAAATGCTAAGCTTTCGTAAACAATAACAAAGCATCACCTGCTTTCTACTTTTCCCTAAAGTTGTCTGGGTATACTAAAATACAAGCAAAAGGCCTTTAAACCCTAATTCCAATCTCTAGTTCTACTTCCTGATTCTATATAAAATTTTTAAAGTAAAAAAGGCATTTAGCACGTAATTTAATCTTCACTTAATCTTCAGCAATTTGTAACCACCATTGTGAGTATCAATTTCAACTGTGCTATAGGATAGGTGTGGAAGTATTGGTTTGATAATGCACTGAAGGGAGGATTTAATAATATGGGTAACTGTTGAACCACTGTGTTACATACCTGAAACCAATATAAGATTGTGTATCAACGATACTTCAATTAAAAAAAGAAAAAGAAAAAAATGTACTTAAAGTATTTCAGTACCTAGGACACCCTCTGGAAGTGACTTTTTTTTTTAACTGAATCCTTATTATTAATTCATCCTTTCAAATGCTAGATAAACTGGATGCTCATCTAACAACACCTAACAGGCAGGAACAGGGAGATTAGACATTGAAAAATGAACACAATACTTTTCTCTACTAAGAGAGTCTTGTCTCTACCAAGCTATCTTGTCGGGAGGGAGAAACTACAACTGTACATAACTTACACTGTTTAGTAACTAAAACAGATGTAAGGGAACAATGGATGATGGGTATCAGCAAAGACTTTATATAGGAAATTATATTTAAGCTGAGAATTAATGGCTAAACATGGGCTTCCTAAGCAAACATTCAATAATAATTTTTTCCAGAAAACATTTAGTTTGCTATTAGCTCAACTCCAAGAAATAGTCTTTCTACTGAACTCAGGAATGCAAATACAAATAGTAACACCTTTTAAGAGTCTATGAAGCATAGAAAACATTCTCAATAAGCGAAGTTTACTCCTTCAGTTCCAAAATTTAACTTTCAAAAACTACCGTTCTCCTTTGATTCATATTTCAATGAACATAAATTTTACATCACCTTTCTATGAGAACAGCAACAGACTTAAATTCTAGTCCCACCTCAGACTTAATTAGTTTTATGACTTCAAATAAGTCATTTATTTATTTATACCCAATTTATTTATTTGTAAAATAATAAGGTGAGAGCAGATGAATTCTAGGGTCTGTAAGTTTAAGATTCTAGGGTTCTAGGCATGCAAGAAGTTTAAAACAAGCCTATACCTTGGTCAAAACATTTATATTAAAGAAAAAAGTAATAAACCTCAGAGTTTAAACCAAAAATTTAGGACATAATTTTACAATAGTATCTATGCTTTACCCTACATGAAAGTCTGAGTTCTAAGTATGAGAAATGTCTCTTGTAAGCAACTATCATGCAGACAAAATTATACTCAAAAACCAGTAAGATTTAAAAACAAAAAAAAGAGGCAAATAGAGGTTTCCAAATTTTACTGTTCTTTATAGTATTGATTAAATCATTTTTCATATAAGTCATTTGAGCTGCTAAATAAGCATACAATTCTGATTACTCTGCAATGTAATGATACTCTCAAAAGCACAGAAGATTTAGAAGGACATAGGATTCCTGTAAGACTACCCCTGAAATAATCAGATGTCTTCCAGAATTAGGTTAATGGAAATGAATACAAACTAGAACCTAGATAGTACAACACCAATACATCAAACAGTATGAGCCTCTGCCAAGATGTTAAAATCTGAATAATTTACAGCTCCACTAATTAATTTCAAATTTGTGATATTTATGGCCAGAGGTAGGTAAAGATCACTTTTATTTCAAAAATACTTTCTCAAAAACAAAAGATAACAGATTATATTCATCTTCTCCATCACATAAGAGACTATCTTCTTACACTTTCACATCAGAAGAAACTATTTATATTTATTACATAGACATATATATCACTCTTATCTGATCAAGAATCAGTTTACCTAGAAAACATGATCACACATATATTATTATATAATTGCTTTTGAATTATTCTAAAATTCATGTTTTTTACTAATTTATACAAGGTTTTATGTTAAAGAAAATAAGTGGAATTCAACTATACTTTTCAAGCACAGTTCTACTTCCAATAACAAAAATATTAAAATCAGTGACTTGCCTGATCAAACTGGGTAAGTTCTTGGCCAGAAGGAATCTGTAATCCCCAAAGTCTATACTTTTTGGCAACACTAGAAAATTGCAGATCCAAAGGAATCTCAACTATATCAGACCGATTTAGAATTTCAGCATTTCCATAGTCAATGTATCTCACCAAACACTGGGGAAAAAAATGAGACAAATAATAAATGGAAGTTAGATTAAATATATATAAAGAAACCACCATTTTGATGCTTTCTGTTAATTACCTGTAAATGAAAAACAGCATTTCACTTCAAATTGACAAAATGCATTCAGAAATGAAAGCCCCAGCATTATCCTCAAACTAAAGAAAACCCATAGTCCCTGAGATTCCAGTGATTTCTATAGTTTGTACTAGTTAACTATTACCAAATAGTACCATTTCCAACAGTACCTTTCTCATTTTGGCTTTTTTTTAACAATTGGTATTTAAGTAAATATAAATCTTTGATTCTTATAGCCCTCTTCTATATTGAATGTTAAAAATTCCAATATTTTCTTAAATTCAAAATGGAAACCTCTGAAAAGAAAAGCAAACTTATCAAACTTTCTTTGATAAAAACTAAACCCACTCCACATATTAGACCTTGGAGATGAATCAAATTCAAATTCACCCTCACCTCCAGCTCCATATGTTTAAAAAGTAAAAAAAGAAAAACAGTTTATCACAAAGTAAAAAGTTATCTTGCCCCTCAATTTAAAAAGTTAAAGTGAAACCAAAAGCAAGCACAAAATATCATCAGTTGTCAAATTGTGGGGAAAAGTTCTATTAGAAAAGTCAATTTCACTAAAATAAACCTTTATCTGTGACAGCAATAAATTTGTAAAGAAGTTATTGGGAGCATTACTCAAACTGTATCATCTCATCATCTCCTTTACTACATCTATATGTTTCATATATATATATATAAAACATATATATGTTATAAAACATTTTAAGTCCAGGGAAGCAGGCAAAGAAAAAAAAACTTTAAAAAAGCCTACAGCGACGCTTTTACACAAATGTGATGTGCAACTGCCACCAAGGACTAATCAGAATCTCATCTCAAAAAGCTAAACACAAAGAAAACTAAACAATCATCAATTCACCCCATTTAAGCAAGGCATGAAAAAAGCAGCAAGTCAGTCTTCACCATTAACAATATGCACATCGACTAAGTAAAAGAAACATAACTTCAGAATCAATCAAATGTGCTTTTCCTACTCAACCTTAATAGAATGAATTTTAAGTTACTCAGCAAAAACCAAACATAATTTTTAAGAACTGAGGTACAAAAATCCAACTAGTTGCCAAAAATAATCCACAAATTATGTAATCTATTCTTGGACAATCCAAGATAATTATATGATAATTTAAATTCAGACACATATTCCTGAATCTATCCCGGATTTTTTTAAGCCATTTATTTTTTTTTTGTGCTTACTAAAAAAAAAACATGTTTTGATCAATTTATAAGTTCAATTGAACCAGATTCTTATTACCAGTATGAATAACCAATGAAGGGCTAAATAATCATCAAATTTTGGAACCAGAATAAATATTCCTTAGAGCAAAAAAACTGAACACTTGTTCCTGCCTTTTCATCACTGATGATTTTCAGTACTTTGCACCTGTACCAACATTTATCTTCAGAAAATAATCCACCATAAATCTACAAAGAAAAAAAGAAAGAAAAATTATTTGGCATTTTAGTGAGGCAAAGCATGATTAGATCAGAATAATGGTTTATGTTTATTAAGCACTTACTATATGTCAATAAGCACTTTATATGTAATAACCTATTTTATTCTCATAACACCCTATGAGGCAGGTACTTTGTTTTCACTATTATGTGCCCTAAGTCATGAGCTAATAAGCAGTAGAACCAGTATTCAAAATCAGGTATTCTAACTGCAGAATCCCTTATGCTATTTGGCTTCTTCAAAAAAATGGGGCTAGGGTAAGGAAAGACATAAAAAACAGAAAATTAAAAAAAAAAAAAAGGGCACAAGCATCAAAGGCTTAAAATCATACTGTTTTAATGTCTGAAAATATAACCAGTACAATTAATTGTTCTTAAAACATAAACATTCCAAGTACATGCCACTAAGTCTAATTCTCAATGTGGGATCCATATATTCTGCCAGTCATGAAAAATTTTTACACTTTTTACTTCATAAGGACTTTAGTGCTATTAAGTAGATAAAATTAAATGAGGTCATATCCTTAATACTGAGCCTTCAATTATTTTAAAGTTATATTTTAATTATTTAATAAAAGAACAACAAAATTTACATACTTTAAGTCAATTTCCCAATCTGAGCTCTACTGACATTTGAGACTGGTAATTCTTTCAGGGCGGCGGTTGCTATCCTCTGTCCTGTACACTGTAGGATGCTTAGGAGCATCCCCATGGCTCTACGTATACAATGCCAGTAGAGTTCCCTCTTAGCTGTGACAACCAAAAATGTCATCAGACATTACCAAATGTCTCCTGGGGGTGGGAGTAGGGGATAAAAAATGACCCCAAGTTGATCACCACTTGAAATCATACATTCTCAATGGGGGGAACAAGAAAGTGAAAACTGCTCTTTCAGGGGTGGGGCAGAATCTTAGGTATTACAATGGTTTGTAGCCCTCCAAAGTTTAACAGAGGAGTGGAGACCATTAGGGAAAAATACCTTAGAAGAGCATAATGAAAGAGGTTAAGGAACACTGCTTTAAGTGATGAATTTGAAATTGACTTTAAGTGTATCCCTCTGAACTAGGACAAATTCACAGATTTTAAAGCAAAAGGAATACACAGTGTGAAACGTAAAATTCTTTAACTCCCCAAAGCAACAAAGTACAAATCAGTTCAGACACACAAATAGATACCTAACAAAGCAAACACTACAAAGGACAGGTATGGTCAATTAGCACTTAAATCTGGTTCCCTCAGGTAACATTCAACAACTGGAAGGCAAGAAAGAGCACAGTGGCATGGTACCCTCTCCCAACCATCTTCATTTTTTGTAAGCAAAAAGATTTAACAGCAAAAATAGCTGATAATCAAAAGCCCTATTGAATTTCAAACTCTGAAAAAGGTCACACATTACCTTCATTTAAGACTTTGTAATAAAGCAAAACAGAACACAGACACCAAGAACGAACTAGTGGTTACAAAAGGGAAGAGTTTGGGGAGAGTAGGGTGGGAGAAGGGGATTTAGGAGCACAATAATTTGCAATCACAATACAGGTTGGTCATGAGGACAGTAGTACAGCATGGAGAATATGGTTAATGACTATAACATCTTATTACATTGATGGACAGTGACCACACTGGAGGGGGTGAGGACCTGAAAATATGGGTGAATTTTGAACCACTGTGTTGTATATTTGAAACCATCATAAGATTGTATATCAATGATACTTTAATTTAAAAAAAAGACTTTGTAATAATATACCAATACAATAACAATTCAATATAAGGCAAGTGACAGAAATGGTGTATCACTGCAATTCAGTCTAGGTAGGGGGTGGGACTACTTATATCCAGGAATAGAGATGGTACCCAGTCAAAATGAGGATCTGAAGTTCTTGGATCTGACAGTGTGAATAATCACAACAACCCTCATATATGTGTTTATCCCAAAAAGATCTGTCTTTAAAACACAGTCAGAACTATATATTCACTCTGTGCCTGGTCTCAGTCTCCTTCCACAATTCCACTATTCATAACCCATGACTTGCCTACATGATGAAAAAAAGAGAACCAACAACTCAATCACTATGGAAAATTTACAAAGTACATCCACTCCTGGCTGAGTAATCATTAAAAATGAGAAACCTATTATTGAAACTAGATATTTCACAAAGCAAATAATTTATTTTGCATTCAACAGAGGAAAAGTAGGTATGTCTTAACTTATAACACTATTAAAAAGGCATAGACAACAAGGATGCTAAAACTAAAAACTAAAAACTTTACTAATTGCATTACCTTATCCATTTGGATGCTCAGCTCCAAGCTACATTTCTTCCTTTCTTCTAAATTTCTTCTTTTTACACATTTTTATATATGCCATTAGGGTTTTAAGTATTTTAAAATAAAACTAATAAAGACATTTTATTAAAAGAAAATCAAAGTATTTCAGGTGTCAAAAATAAGACTTTTTCCAAATGTTCTTCAACCTGCACCTCCTGAAAATAATTTAATGATTACACTAATTTTACTCTACACTAGGATATATGTTTATGCTTTTGTATTTATACAAATGGGCTCATTTTACATACACCATTTTGTACCTCAACTCATATCAAAATAGAGAGATCTACTTCTCTCCTTTAAATAACCAGGGCTTGGAGCCGGGTGAGGCAAGACAGGTACTCATGGTACAAAATTTAAAGAGGTTCTGAGGTACCTACAATTACATAAGAGCCACCTTAAATGTTACATTTACACTACCCTCTTATCAGCCCCCAAAATGATTAATTAGTATTCCACATAGGATCTAAGATAATTCATTACCTATTCCAATATAAGGTAACAGTTAAGAAGGTGATCTCTGTGAGTTTGAATACTTGATCCACTATTAACTAGCTGGTGGTTACCATAAAGTTATCCTAACTGTGCCTCAATTTCAAAAAACTATATAAAACATTAACATGTGCCTCACAGGGTTTCTGTGAGAAGTAAATGAGTTAATACATGCAAACTGCTTAGAATACTGCCTCACACAGGGTAAGACTCAATAAATGCCATTACTACTACTATTATTATTACTACTATAGTATTATATTGAAAGATATTAAATAAAGGATATTTAGTTATCATGTAATAAGTTAAAGGACACGTAATTTGCCTATTACAATTAATGCTGCAATGAAATCTCTGCAAAACATATTTGTGTACTTATAAAAATGTACAAAGGGTAAACTCTTGGCAGAGAAATTGATGCATCCAAGATTATAGGCATTTTTTCCTTAAAAAGGATGATTAACACATATACAGTCACCTGGTTTTATTGGAACAAAGATTCCAATAAAATTCAATAAAGAAAAGATGGTCATTTCAATAAATAGTGCTGACATAATCGGATGTCCATATGAAAGAAAAATTAAATTTGACCTCTACTTCACATAACCAGATTTTACTGGAGGTAAACCACAGCCCTAAATGCAAAAGGTAAAAGCTTCTAAGGGAAAAACAAAACATAGAATATATTCATGACCTTAGGATAAGTAAAGTGGTCTTAAATGGGAAACAGAAAGCAAATACTAAGAAAGTGAATAGGGAAGCCAAAGATTAGGAGAAGACACTAGCAATATATATATAAGACAAAGGACTCATATCCAGACTATACAAAGAATATATTTAGAACTTCCTACAAAATCAAGACAATCTTGAACACGGGGAAAAGATGTGAATAAGCACTTCACAAAAGAGGATATCCAAATGGCTAATAAAACTATGAAGACATGTCTAAGGCTCAGCACTCATTAGGAAAATAAAATTAAAATCACAAAATAACACTCCACACCATCAGACAAGCTAAAATTAAAAAGACTGATAATGCAAAAGGTTGGTGAGGACATGGAGGAACTGGGAGTTTCATACTTGGTGGGTAAGGATGAAAATTCGTTCAGTACTTTTGTCAAACTGTTTGGCCAGAACCTACTAAAATGAAATATGCCTATCCTCTAACTTAGCATTTCTACTCCTAGGTAACTAAAAAGAAATGAGTCAATACATCCAATAGAAAGCTGTATAAGGATTTTATAGCAGTTTAATTCAGAATAGTCAAAAACTGCAAACAATCCAAATTCCCAACAAAGAAAAACAGATAAATTGTGGTATATTTATACAACGAAATACTGCATAGCTTGAGAACAAACTACCAATACACTACACACAATAATATGGATGAACCTCAGGAAGTATACTGAACAAAAGAAGCCAGACATATACAAAAGAGTACATATTATAAGATTTAAGAAGAGACAAATGAATCTATGCTGATGGAAGTCTGATGATGATTACCTCTGTTAGGGAGACTACTGACCAAGAATTGGTGGAGAAGGGGCCTGAGGGAATTTTCTGGGATGATGGAACTACTAGTATATTGATCTGGGTGGTGATCATACAGATGCATACATATGTAAAAATTCAGCAAGCTGTATATTTAAGAGATACATACTTTAGTGTATATAAGTTATACTTTCAATTAAAAAGGAGAAAAAAGATTGTCAAATTATTCTATATAGACATCTTTTACAGATTTTTTGTGAATCAGTGTCAAAGGCAAGGGTTCCCCATTTTGCTCACCACGTATATTCAAAGCTTAACACAGTTCCTGGTACAAAGCAGATAGTCTGTATGTATTTTTGAAAGAATAAGTTTATGACTATAGTTTATACAAATTCTGAGAATCTGCCTTTTCCTATGAAATACATCAAAAATTCCAAAAACAATATGTAAAGACATAGTAAAGTTAACACAAGTCATGGAATAATTATACCCAAGAATATGGCTCACCTTCCTTGGATCAAGATTCCCAAAAACTGAATTGGCATGGGGACAAGCTTCAGACAGTGAACCACTGATCTTCATAATATCCTTATTTCTACTGATACTCTAGAAGGAAGAATAGCATAAAAGTGAGTAAAATATTCTTTGACAGTGTTATACAATTGGGAGTTCTACCTCCCACAGTACTTAAAAGATTCTAGAACATTAGAAATTAAATCAAATTCTTATGTCAGTATTTCTCCATAATTCAAATGAGTTCTTTATAAAAATGCCCTACAGATTCAATGCAATCCCTAGCAAAATACCAACAGCATTCTTCAACAAACTACAGCAAATAGTCCTAAAATTGATATGGAACCACAAAAGACCCCGAATAGCCAAAGCAATCCTGAGAAGGAAGAATAAAGCAGGGGGGGATTATGCTCCCTGACTTTAAGCTCTACTACAAAGCCACAGTAATCAAGACAATTTAGTACTGCACAAGAACAGACCCACAGACCAATGGAACAGACTAGAGAGCCCAGATATAAACCTAAGAATATATGGTCAAGTAATATATGATGAAGGATCCATAGATATACAATAGGGAAATGACAGCCTCTTCAACAGCTGGTGTTGGCAAAACTGGACAGCTACATCCAAGAGAATGAAACTGGATTATTATCTAACCCCATACATAAAAGTAAACCCAAAATGGATCAAAGACCTGAATGTAAGTGATGAAACCATAAAACTCTTAGAAAAAAATATAGGCAAAAATCTCTTAGACATAAACATGAGCAACTTCTTTATGAACATATCTTCCCGGGCAAGGGAAACAAAATCAAAAATGAACAAATGGGACTACATCATGCTAAAAAGCTTCTGTACAACAAAGGACACCATCAGCAGAACAAAAAAGCATCCTACAGTATAGGAGAATATATTTGTAAATGACATAACTGACAAGTTGTTAACATCAAAAATATATAAAGAACGCACATGCCTCAACACCCAAAAAGCAAATAACCCTATTAAAAAATGGACGGAGGATATGAACAGACAATTCTCCAAAGAAGAAATTCGATGGCCAACAGGCACATGAAAAGATGCTCCACATCGCTAATCATCAGAGAAATGCAAATAAAAACCACAATAAGATATCACCTCACACCAGTTAGGATGGCCAACATAGAAATGAATAGGAACAACAAATGCTGGCGAGGATGCAGAGAAAGGGGAACCCTCCTACACTGCTGGTGGGAATGTAAACTAGTTCAACCATTGTGGAAAGCAGTATGGAAGTTCCTCAAAAAACTAAAAATAGGAATACCATTTGACCCAGGAATTCCACTCCTAGGAATTTACCCTAAGAATGCAGGAACCCAGTTTGAAAAAGACATATGCACCCCATTGCAGCACTTTGTGCTTTGCTCTCTATTTAAAACTCAGTAAACTTATCTGACTTGAAACCTGCCAATAGAAAATTGGGACTATTCTACTGGTGCTTACAATTTTATGACAAAGATAATGTATCTCAAATTCAAAATTAAGCCATTAGAAGGAGAGGGGGCACGGAGATGGGTAAAATAGGTAAAGAGGGTAAAGAGGTACAAACTTCCAATTTTAAAGTAACTTAGTCACGGGGATGGATGTACAGCACAGGGAATATACACAATAATACTGTAATTTATTTTTATGTTGACAGATGTTAACTACATATTTACTGTGGTGAGCATTAAGCAATGTATATAACTGTTGAATCACTGTGTTGTACATCTGAATCCAATACTGTATATCAACTATGTTTCAATAAAAAAGAGAATTAAGCCACCAGAAAAAAAATGACAGATTTAAAAACTCAGTATGTTTCAAGACACAAGCTTATAAAAGGCCTCTAGATGGGACTGAAACTTCATAAATACAAGTTTCTCAGAATCTCCAGTAATTAGGCAGTTTAGATTGTTGATGTTACATTGTGTGAAATTTTGAAACTGCAACTACAATCTTGCTGTTTTATTATTTAACTCCGTGTACTATAAGCATACTACTCACAATTCAGGTATTAAACTCAGCTGTAAGTCATTTGTCTTCTAATAATGCCTTGTGTTAAATAGTGTCGATAAAAATTAGGCACTGAAAATGATGATATATATCCATTACCAGGTTTTTATTTTTTGTTCTTGTTGGAGAGGACCTGGGTGAGTGGAGGAAGGGGTAGGAGAGGAAATCAACCAAGTTGCTATTTACCTGGGCCCAAAATGTTACTGCATCTTCCACATGACTTCCAACCACATCTTCAACTAAAACCAAATCACAATGCAAGGAAATTAGAAATTAATCAAGATATCTAGCTCTTATATTAAAAAAATTTTTTTAGTGTCAGTACCTTTATTGTAATGTGTATCTTCATCCATCTGGACATTTCTTGAAAAACTAAAACAATTCAATACCTTGTATTAGGTTCTAATAATCTGTCCATTAACAGTGAATAAAGAAAGATGAAACCATATGACGTTCAAATTCTCACAAGTATGTTTTGACCTAAATAAAATTATTAAAATCCAAACTCTAAGATCTTAAAGATATTTTCTTCAATTATTCTTCTGTTTTGAGTGTACTGTATTTTACAATTTCATCATAGATAATCCTTATTTGAAATTACCTCTTAAACTAAACTTGTACAAATTTACACCAAAGCAGATAGTTGAAGCACATTTTGATCAGTTACATAAATACTTCAGAACAATGTGCACATTCTTTCAAAATTAATGCCTTCCCAAAACAACAGCAGGATTTTCACAATTTAAACAAAAAGAAATGCTACAAATATATAGAGAACAAATGCTTCAGACTGGTAGTTTTAAAAGGTACCATGGTTTCTGCTTTAGAAGACAGCCTGCAATTAGACTGTCTTAAAATGACAAGACTATAAAATGAATCAAATTTTGCCCACTAGCAAAAGTAATTTCATTACATATTATACTATGCCACCTACAAAATATTTCAAAATAAACGTCTAGTAGTTTATAATTTTATCCTTACACATTAGAATATTGCATTTTACATCCATAAATGTTAGTTCTTTAAGTGAAACTGAAAATACATTTTTTTAAGAACTTTAAAAGTTACCTAAGAGCATCACTATACCAAAGTACCAAATGCTCTCTCCACTACAGAAAAAGAAATGTTAACTCTGTTGTCACGGGGGAAGAGGGTCATAAAAACTTTTTAAACTTTATTCTTCTAATTTTTGCTAACGCTTAAAATTTGTTTTCACATAAAGTAGCATCAAAACATCTTCAAAACAAAGGATTCTTCTCCCAAGACTGATCAAAGGGAATTTAATTGAGCAAAAGTTGTAAAACCAAGTTGTAATCTGAACCGTTTGGGGGGGCTATATTTTACTGAAAGACACTGGCTTTAGTAAAAATGAAAATGTTCATTTTGGAAATCCCACCACAGTCTAAGAAGCTATTTCTATAATAGTTTTAAAATCTTATTTTAAACGGGGTCAAAAGATTTGTCCGTGACTATTATGAAGGAACTAATACTGAACACACCTGCTACAGACCTGGATTACTAAATGGCACTTACAAATCTACAGTTCACGGTGAGAGTTTTGGATAAGCGAGTCCAGGCCCCTCCTTGACAACTATTTTATGAGGGATTTGGACATTAAAATGGCACAGAATTTGCAGGAAGGCAGAATTACAAACTGCAACACCGTTTTCACCGAGAACGCCCAGGCCCCAGCCAGTTTCGCCTCTGGGCAGGGCACTCAGCGGCTGGGATCCCTGTCACCCTCACAACTAGGCAGACGCTCAAACACTAAGGCAGGCCTGGAAATTGGCCTCACCCCATACCTGGAGGCCTAATGGCAACCAGGGGTGAAAACAGGTCCCTGACGAGGCCACCATCTGACCTGCCAACTACAAGAGGACTTACTGACCTCACACTTTCTGCTACAGAAACGGTAGAAAAGTGCCCTGGCCCCCACATGACAGGCCCTCCGGATTCCGCCGCCGCCACCACGGGTCCCTCTGCCCACTCCGCGCACGTGCAGAAACATACCGTGGGGGCCTCGAGCACTTGAGCTCCACCCTGCGCTTGCGCGCGCGGCTCTGCGCCATCGTCCGGTTTGGGAGCACCGCCTCGTTCGTTTGGCCGCTGTGGCCGAGGGCTGTGGGGCACGATGGGCGGGGCGACGCACGAGGGGCCACGCACACAGGAAGCACAGCGCGGAGGCTGCGCACGCAGGGGGTTTATACCCTGCACCTGCGGAGTAATGGCAGGTCATTTCAACGCTTCAAATAATGACGCCTGGTAGTGGGTTTCGTGAATTTCCTAATCTGTTCATGTTGATTTAAACCAAATTAGAAGAATCCCAAGTTTCTTTTTACAAGATGGAAAGGAGAAATTGAGTTTGGTAAATGACTGTGATTTTCAGGTTAGTAGCTTTGCAAGAGTTTCTCAGCCCAAACTTAGCATCAGATCTCTCTGATGTTGCAGCCTTTTTTTTTCACATGAAGAAAACAATAATATATCTCAGCTCTCTGGTTATATGCAGATGTTACACATGTGGCAAATCTTGCACAACAGTTGAAAATTCTCCCCATTTTTTGGAGATTGAAGTATAATCAACATACAGTAAACTGCACAACCTAAACGTGCATAATTTGGTAAAAATGAACATATATATACACTGTTGAAGTCATCTTTACAGATTAAGATAATCATTTCCTTCACCCCCATAAGTTACCTCATACTTCTGCATACTTGGCTCCTCCAAGTGACAGACTATGCTGTCACCATACATTAGTTTGCATTTTCTAGAATTTGATGTTAATGAAATACAGTATGTATTTTGTCTGCTCTCTTTCACTCAACATAATTGAGATTCATCCATTTTATATATATCAACAGTTTCTTGCTCTTTAATGCTGAGAGCACTATTCCATTGCATGGTTATACAACTTACCTACTTTTTAATAAACATTTGGATTGTTTGATAAACAAGTCTGGGCTTGATCCTAATAAAAGCTGCTATGAACAATCATGTGCAAATCTTTGTATGGCATATGTTTTTATTTCTCTTGGGTTAATACCTGGGAGTAGAATGGTTGGGTCATATGGCTGTGTGGTTTTTTTTTAAAGAAACTGCTGAACAGTTTTATGAAGTAGTTTTACTATTTCATATTCCCACCAGCAGTGTTTAAGAGTTCTAGTTGCTGCATATCCTCACCATTTTATATGGTCAGTGTTTTTAAGTTTAGATATTTATATATAATGATACCTCTTGTAGTTTCAATTTGTATTTCTTTATTGAATAAAAATGTTGAGCATCTTTTAGTGTTTATTTTCCATCCATATTCCTTCTAAGGTGAAGTTTCCAAATGTTTTCCCATATTTTAACTTGTCTTCTTATTGAGTTTTGCAGTTCTTTATATTCTGTGTATACAACTTAAGATTTGCAAATGTTTTCTCCCAGTTTGTGGCTTGTCTTTTCATTCTCTAAAAAGGGTATTTCAAAGAGCAGTCACTCTTAATTTTGATGAAGTCCAGTGTATCAGTTTTGTCTTCTATGGATCATGCTTTTGTGCTGTATCTTAAGAAATCTCTTATCAAACCTAGGTCACAAAAGTTTTCTGTATTTTCTTCTAGACATTTACATGTTTAAGCTTTACATTTAGATCTATAATTCTTTTTTGAGTTAATTTTTATATAAGATGCAAAGTATGAATAAGTTTGTTTTGTTTTTTTGTATATGGATATCCAAGTTTTCCAGCACCATTTGTTGAAATGTTATCATTTCTCCATTGAATTGCCTTTACACCATTGTCAAAAATCAACTGACCTTATATATACAGGTGTATTGCTGGATGCTCTTTTCTGTTACACTGATTCACTTCCTTTAGATTAAAATCACACCATCTTGATTATTGTAGTTTTTTAAGTCTTGAAACTTACAAGTACTGTTAGTCTCTCAATCTTGTTCTTTTTCAGTTGTTTCAGTTTTACAGTTCTGTGTGAATTTTAGAATTAATTTATCAGTCTACACAGTCTGCTGATATTTTTATTGGAATTACATTGAATCTATAGATCAATTTGAGAATTCATATTTTAATAATCTTGAATCTTATGATGCATGAACACAGTATATGTCTCCACTTACTTAGATCTTGCTTCTCTGAGCAGAGTTTTGTATTTTTCATTGTAAATGTTTTGTACATCTTTTGTCTAATTTATCCCTAAAGACTTATTTTTGTTACTGTAAACAGTATTATTTTCTTACGTTCAATTTCTGGTTATTTTGTTGCTAGTATATAATTTTTGTATATTGATCTTATTTTCTGCATCATTGCTAAACTCATTTGTTATTTTTAGTGGTAGTTTTTTTAAGATTTAATAGAATTATCTACATAGATGGTCATGTCATATGCAAATAAACTTACTTTTTCCTTTCCAATCTGAATGTTTTTCTTTCTTTTATCTTGCCTATTACAATGGCTAAAACCTCTAGTATGTTGAATAAAAGTGATAAGAGCAGTCATTCTTGCCATGTTGCTAATCTTAGGAGGAAAGTATTTGCCTTTTGGCATTAAGTATGATGTTCCTATGGGCTTTTAGAGGATATCCTTTGTCAGATGGAAGAAATTAGCTTCTATTTTTAGTTTGCTGAGAGTTTTATCATGAATGCCTGTTGAATTTTGTCAAATACTTCTGCATATATTGAGATGGTTATATGGTTCTTTTTTAGCTTATTATGTGCATTACATTGATTTTCAAATATTAAACCAACCTTGCATTCCTTGTCTAAAACCCACTTGATCATGATTATCATAATAATGATGTATTATCCTTTTATTCAATTTGCTGAAATTGTTAAGAATGTTGGCATCTGTGTTTAAGTGAATATTGGTCTGAAATTCTCTTTTCTTGTAATGTCTTTCTCTGGTTTTCAAATCAGAGTAATAGTAATGCTGGTCACATAGAATGAGTTATTAAAAAAAACTCCCAACTTCAATTTTCTGAAAAATCTGTATAAAATTGGTAATCTTCTTTCCTTAAATATTTGGTAAAATTCATAGTACAGCCATCTGGGCCTGGAATTTCTCTTTGTAGGAAGCTTTTAAACTACAGACTCAATTTCTTTGATATATGAGCTAAGTAGCATATAACAGATATATGACTAATCAGATTATCTTTTATTGAATGTGTCTCTTAGTTTTTATCTTTCAAGGCATGTATCCATTTCACCTAAGTTGTTGAATTAATTGGCATAAGGTTTTTTATAACATTCCATAATTTTCCTTTTAATATCTATAGAATTTATGTCACCACTCTCATTCCTATCATTGGTGATTTGTATGTTCTATCTTTTTCTGTCTTTTGCTGATCAGTCTAGCTAGAGGTTTAGCACTTTTACTGGTCTTCCAAAAAAAAGTTTTATTCATTTTCTCTATTGCTTTTCTATTTTCTATTTCTATTTCTGCTCTTATCTTTATTATTTTCTTTTTCCTATTTTAGTTTTCATTTGCTTTTCTTTCACTAGTTCTTTAAGGTGATTTGAGATCTTTGTTCTCTTCTGATACAGGCATTTGCTGCTATAAATTTCCCCTATGTACTATTTTAGCTGAATCCAACAAATATTATATTTTCATTTTCATTCCACTAAAAACACTTTGATTCCTCTTTTGATTTTTTTTTTTTTGACCCATGGATTATTTAGAACTATATTAGAACTGTTATATAACTATAAAGTAGTTGGAGATTTCCCAGATATCTTTGTTACTGATTTCTTTTTCAATACTATTGTGGTCAGAGGACATGCTTTATGATCTGAATGATCTTTAAGTATTGAGACTTATTTTATGGCCTAGAATATGATCAATCTTAGTAAATGTTTCATGTGCATTAAAAAAAAAAAAGAATGTGCATTCTGCTCTTATTAGATTGAGTGTTCTATAAATGTAACTTGGGCCAAGCTGGTTAATAGATGCTCAAGTCTCCTATATTCTTACTGACTTTTTGTCTGCATAACTCATTGGTCAAGGGAGGCCCATAGGTCATTAATTCTGACCCAAGTCTCAGCACCTGAGAAGTATCTGGGGCAAGAAGTAAGAGCTATCAGTGTAGGCCCAAGGATTCTATCAGCTTCTAAGTATACCTACCCCAATTATATATATTTAGGGACTATAGAAATAAACAGAGTGGGGCCAGACCCATTGAACCCATTAAGATGGACTTTGGCAAGGACTCCATTTATCACTGGGCTTCTATAAAACCAGAGACCACAGTGTTCTGGATCTGTTAGGATCCGTATCAGCTCAGACTTTATATCAAACTGTCTTTGGTTGAAAAATCTGAGTATGCCTATCTCCCTGCATAGTTACCCTGGTAAATGATGTTAAACGACTGCCCCCTTTGGGGAAGGATTAAGGGGATGTTTATCATATACACTTGAGGATTCTTACTCAAGGGGATATGGACTTTCCCTTCCATCAGTGGGCTCTAGATATGAACTACCTTAGATTTGGAAATTGGGTGAGGAACCCAGTGTTTATACAAGTGGTTATACGAGTCAAATAACATCCTAATCAGTTATCCTTCTGTTTTACCCCTTGGAACATCATGATCTTAACATTCTTCCCAGATTCATGCCTTGGTACCCATTAATTATGTCCTTTGGGTTTCTGACAAGTTCCAAAACTTGACCTTCAACATTTCTGCATCCTATCATCTAAACTAATATCAAGAGCCCAATTTCATGGCAGCATCTTCTACCATCAATTATAGCCTGTAGAGGCCAGCCAATGCCAAGCTTCTCAAAAAAGTTGCGAGTACACCCTTCACCATTACATTTCTTATTGCCTAGTTATTGACAAGTATCATCTGAGTCTTCCAAGGAAAAACAGTCAAATGGTAGCTTTTCCAGTCTCAAACAATAAATCTCTTCTAACACTGCCACTTCTCTGAGCTTTCTGACCCCTTCCTCCATACTATGCCAAATAACTTTCAGAATTTCCACATCTTTCATATGCAATCCTAGCAGTGTGTTAGGACCAACTCCAGAAATCCTTGCCAGGGCATTAAGTCTGATCATGAGGAAGTGTTACCATGCCACTCTCTCCTATCAATCTCATATTGGAGAAAGAGGGCCAAGAGAATTTGAAGTAGCATACCAGATGTGTCAATACAGTTATACATAA